ATTCAAAAGCATTTCATGAAAACCAGTTTCAAAAATATTAAATTCAATTACATTATGTTACATTACAGACATGTCATTTGGTAATAAAAAAGTTAACAATTTAGAAGGGGAACAGCAAAGACCTTGAACAAGGCGAAATGAAAAAACATGAAATGTGGAAGGGAAAAATACAACCAAAACTACTCATCTAGTAAAAGTTGCATTAAAAATACATGTACATCAGACATAATTTCATTAAACTTGGATACAGCATGACACTAAGCTATTTCCTGGATGTTCTGAAAGTCAGCATCATTAATTTTTTTCAGCTTTCAAAGGATGCCATACATGAAGGTCGTGGATTAGACCTTAAGTTGTCTGTGCTTAGTCAAGCACAAATGTAGCCCGATATTTCTTTTGAATCAACTGCACAGCTCAAGAGCGCCATTCGCACTGCCTCAACATAATGACAGGAATTGCCAGAGGATTTTGAAGGATTTGGGCAATTTTTTTATTGCTGAAAATCGGAGGATTTTGGAGGATTCAGGATGGTTCCTAGTAAAAAGGCCTAGGGGGTTAGGGTTAATTGATGACTGTTATCCCCTTTCATCATTCTCTGTTTCTTTGCTTTTTCATCCATACTTTTCTTTTTCTTTAGGGGAGGCAATGCCCCCTTGCTCACTGTCCTCCGCCATACTCATGGGATGTAGAACTTTGCCCACAGTCCTGCCTGCCACAGTAGTCGCACCATGGCAGGTTGCCAACTACATGTAGGCTTACGCCCCTGTAATATTTCACAGAGTAGGCCTATTTATTCCAATATAAAACACCACTTGAAAATACACCCCTAAAATCAGCGGTTATGTGGGTACAAGATGAATATCCCTAGATGAGAACAGTATGACTGACAAGGTTGATCATACCTACTGGACAGGAGGAGCCAGTGGTAGTAGTGCCTTACTGTTCAGGAAGTAGGCCTAGGGTAGCCCAGCTTGCATTGCGACTAACGTCCAGGGTGTTCATTTCAGCTGTAGATTGTTTTGCAGTGCTGTTTTGAAGCTAGATAACTTGCGTTTTGGCAACTTATTCAAATCTCTTACCATCTTAGGAAAGAATAAACGAAGATGGGATTGTGACACAGACTGTGGGATGAAAAGTTGATTTGTCTTGCAGCTCTTAGTGTTTATTTGTCAACAAGATGATGGAGGTTCCTGCAAATCAAGGAAATCTCTTATGTCCATGTCAACCCCGTGATGGATGATTTTGTGCAACATGACTAAGCTGCTGTA